TAGAGCATGGTACCAAGAAAAGCTTGTGGCCTGGGTGAAGTGATGGTAAGTGGGGAGGCCCATGTGCATGTACTGTGCGTGTAGTGGACACTGGGCCACTGTCATTCAGTGCTTGTCAGAAGTTGGTATTCACTGGAAAGCCAACAGTCTGGAAACTTCAATTTTCATTGTCTAACATATAACTTCCTGTAAAAAATTCATCTCTTGTGAACAGTTCAGTTAGGCCAATTTAACTGGGACACTGGAACCAGGAGATCTTAGGATAATATGAGTTACAAACTACAAGGAACTAAGCAAAGGACTGTGAAACTGTTTCATCATTTTGATGAAACCAGAAAATATCTTCTTGAGCTGCACTGGTTACTGAGTACCTGAAATATGGCTAGTGTTATACACTGAAATGGCCATGTTTTAGATATACTGGATCAAATAAGCTGTTATTAAAACTTACTCTGTCTGTTTCTTTTTACCTTTTTAATGTGGCTATTAGAATATTAAAACTTTCCCATGTAACTGACATCTTTCTATTGGACAGCTCTGGTGCATAGCATTTGTATACACTTCATACCAGATGTTCTATAGGGATGGGTGAAAATTTGGTTATAAGCGTGTGCATGTGTGTGTGTGCACACATGTGCAAGTGTGTGCATATATAGTTTAGTTCATATTTTCAGTGTTTCACATATACCAGACAGAAGTTTTGCAAATGCAGCAGTGTGAACACAACACTGATCTACCCGATGATTACTCCTACAGGGCAGATAATGAACATCCATTATGACACATGTCTTTTGCTTATATGTTATTTGGTTATGACTTGTAAATCAATGTTGTTCGTGCTTAGGGATCCCCTAACTTCTGACAAGAAAAACCAGCCCCTACTACCACGGTGTATAGTATTAAGATGAATGACCCCAGAAAAAATGCCTCCCCCAATACAGATCAGAATGTATGCCAGGGTCATGCTGGGAAAAACACCTTGATGAAATAATTAAGAGTGGAATTTTGTCTTCATAATCTCTCAAGACATGTGTATATATGGGAGGCTTAATCACATTTTATAAAATGTATAAAATTTACAGAACAATTTATTTTATCCACTATGGCTCTTGGGGGGCATAATCAGAATTATGCTTCCAAGTCAACCACTTTGCAAACAGCTCTTCTCAACAGCCACTCTGCCCTGTGATTATGTCAGTGTTCCCAGTGGAAAGGGCTGATGTGTGTCAGCAGGAAACCAGACACTACACTGACATATAGTCTAAAAGGTCAGACAAACACATTTACTGGGACCTTGTACAGAAAGGCACCTTCTGCAACAAAGCCAACCTTTAGGCCTTATGGCCAACTACTGAGTAGGCCATTAACACTAAGAGCTAGTCTGTAGCTCCTCCTTCCCCTTCTCAAGCCTTAAAGGGTTAGATGCTATTCTAGTTTCCATGTTCCCTTTGATGAGTAACTATGACAACTGCAAAGACACCCTAGACCATGCACCAGGCTTTCTATTTCCAGGACTTTGCAAATCCTGTGCCCAATACCCTTATCCTCCCTTCAATCTCTAACTCCTGCTCCAGCTTTTCCCCTGCTTTTATTTTAGTTGAGGCCAGTAGTTCTTAAAACAGTGTGGCCTGAGCAATCCTAGTGGTCCCTAAGGGATGTTCAGAGGTTTCTGAAGTCAACAGCTCCCAAGAAACTAAGACATTATTTGCCTTTCCTACTCTCACTCTCTCATGAGTGTACACTGGAGTTTTCCAGAGAGTCCATAATTACAACAGACTGAATGCAGAAGCAGATATGCGAATCTAGTGCTCATTTACTAAACCAGACATTAAAAAGATTTAAAAACAAGTAAAACAAAGCCACTCACTTCACTAATTTTTTTTTTTTTTTTTTAGGTTTTTCTCCGGTACCAGGAACCGAACTCACGACCTTGAGCTTGCCAGGCAGGCGCTTTGCCACTGAGCTAAATCCCCAGCCCCACTTCACTAAATTTTTGTCTTGGAAAAGTATATTTTTTCATAAAATGTTATACTAACACGGTATATTTATTAAAGCAATACAGTTTTCCAGTTTTAATATCTAATAGAGCAAGTATTGAGCAATAACCCAAATAGAGAAAAGTTCTTTTTTGTTGTTGTTGGTTTTTCCTGGTACCGGGAATCCAACTCAAGACCTTGTGCTTGCCAGGCAGGCACTGTGCCACTGAGCTAAATCCCCAACCTTTTTTTTTTCAGAGAAAAGTTCTGAAGAGTGCTTAGCTAAACATCCGTAAAAGGGTTGTGAAGCCAAAACACCTGTGAGTCGCTAATTTAGATCTACCCCTTCTGCCTGGAAGCCTTTACTTTTCAAGGAGTCTGTTAGATGCCCTCCAGGGTACCACAGCACCTACATTCCTGCCATTGTTATAGCTGCACTCCCCTTTTATGGCTGACTCTGTCTCTACCACTACACCCTAAGGCTTCTGTGTCCCTAGCACCTACTGCAAAAGATTCTTAACAAACATTTCTCAGGTAAAAAGTACCCAAGGTGCTGTCCCAGTCCCTCCCTGATGGGTCCTGGTAACAACTCCTGGTAGTACCAGTGGCTTAAAGTGGGAAGGTGAGCTGTCCTTACATTAATGTGGCTGTCACCTCTGACTCAAGGAAACAGTAGTGGGCTTGGGCCCACCCACAAAGTCCTATTTAAAATGGTGTCATTTTAAACAGATTCTAGATAAGATTTACTAGAATTAGTAGTGTGAAATTAAGAGTACAGGATGCTTTCCTACTGTGTTGGGAGGGGGCTCATATCTACAAATAGAGAACCTAAGAAAGTATTAAATAAATGAAAAGATAAATGTCAAATGAAAAAGTATGTTGAATACAATATGTGTTCTAATTTAATAGATACTGTAGGCTACAACCGTCTCATAAATGTCAAGGATAATCTGACCAATATGACTACTACTTCATAACAACGGCCTATTCATGAATAAACACTCCTCCTCTTGGAGGATGAAGGAGAAGGACTGGTTCACTAATTAGGGTACCCTAGTGGTTTGGTTTCACATCCTAGCAACAGAAACAGGAATTTTAACTAATATCTCCCGTGCTCTATCCTCTTTGCTAAAGACAATGAGTGTGTTCTTATGAGCCTGTCCAGGAATGTGTGTGGGAGTCTGTACATTTTCACCCTGTTAACAAATTAGGTTTTACAATTTGGACTAAGTTAGGGGTATTGAACTGCTTCAAGTCAAACTTGTTTGAGCAAATGTAGTATTTTAATATTCTGTAACCCATTTAGTATTTATCGCATTACATGTCATCAGATAGCTGATCCTCTCCCCAAATCTCCTGGGTCATCTTACTCTTCCTTTCACAGGCTGGGGAGAAGGGTGATCTGAGGAGTGGTTAGAGACCCAAGTTCATAACAAAAAGCACAAGCAAGATAGCAGTGCCAGGGCTAGGTCCCTGGAGCAATGAAGCAGGCTCCATAGATGAGCATTCTGCAAACAGTTTGCCTCTGTGCCTGTCATGAAAAAACCAGCATCTTCCACCCACGCACAGAGCAGAGCCCCTAAAACAACCTGCCAATCACCTTTATTCTTTGACATCGTAATATTTAAAAAAACCTTTAATCAAGCAGATATTCTCCATTTCAAATGTTGATGGCTGACTAGAAATCAGAGAAAATGTTTCATTTGAGGGGCTTCATATTAAGAAATGGAAATCAGACAAGTTTTGGTAAACTACGATAATTTAAGAAGCTCCCTCCCCTGTCCTTTTCAAATATTTATCTTTTTGCCCAAGATTTTAATATGAAAACTCGTTCATGACTCCTTACCCTACGCCTCTGGGGCCAGATGTATTCTAAATTCAGAAATTCTGACTTCAGAAAGGCAGAACAACACATGTACTGAAATAGAGTATTAATCTCCCTATAATAAGTATATAAATTCATTAAAATTTTTGTACCAAATAAACATAAAAAAATCCACACACAAAGCCTGACTAGAAAACGACTACACATACTTTCTCATCATTTTAGGTTAGCTTTTATAGCCAATGGTTTTTGGAATTGAAAATTAATGACTTTAGAAATATGAAAACTTACAGAACACTGATTCGCAAACTAAGGTCCCAGAAAAGCGACACTAGTGTGACCCGGGAACTCACGAGAAATGTGTGTTCAGGTCTCACCCTAGACCTTTTGAGGAAGAAAGTCTAGGGATACGGCCTGCAAGTCTGTGTTTTAAAAACCCCAGGTGATTCTGATGCACGAAAAGTTTAAGAATCACCGCTTTAGAAAAAGTGACTGCCAGCAGACGCCCTACCTGTCTCTGCTCCTTCGGGATGGGAAAGTGGCACTGCAGCCCTCCACCGTGCACACGTGCGTTTCTTTCGCATGCATATTCTTGTGGTGCATTTTCACGCCACAAGCGTTTTTGAAAGTCTTCTTGCAGATGTCACACTGGAAGCGAGTTTCTTCCTTCTGCCTCGCTAACGCATGCGGACTCATGTGCTGTAGTTCTTTAGAATCTTCGAGACAAGGAAAGGTTATCTCCCTGTTGGATAAAGCACCAAAAAGTCCTCCAGTCAGCAGGCGTTGCTGCAGCTCCACATAGTCAGGAAAAGGAACTCGGGGCTCCATTCCAGGGGGAAAGTGGTGTTCACGGCCGTCACCATCAACCTCCCTTGGCACCAGGGTCAACGCTAGCTTCTGCTCAGCCTCCCTCTCTGAACCGTGTGTGGTCTGCTCAGAGGTTCGGCCGATGGCTCCATGGGCCTCAATCACTGACTCCAGGTGGCAGGGCCTTTCTCCTTGTTGGAGAGGCTTTCCTAAGCTTCCCGACAGTGCGTGCTGCTCCTCGGGTGTTCTGTCTGACATGGGACTGCAGGCTTCTGGCTCATCTTCACTGACCACCTGCAGGGGCATGTCTTCATCTGAGCTGAGGCTGTGCCTCTTTTCATTAGCGATCTCCACAGCTTCCTTCTCGATTTTGATAGGCATGCTGGACTTGCGGGATTTCTTCTTGGGAAGAACATCAAATGGCATTTCGTTGGAAACTAGCTGTTCTGGGATCGAAGAGGACAACAGAGGGAGAGAAGGTAGTATCCCGGGTGTGTTTGCGAGCTCAGCGGGAGTGGCTGGACTGCGGTAGAAAGGAAGGACTGGCTGAACTGTCTTTAGGTTGGGAAAAAGCACACCATTTTGGCCAATGCTGGAGAAGGCTGGTTGGCCTGGGGAGTCCTCCCCTGAACCAGGGTAGCCGGGGAGAGGTCTGCAGTCTGGAGACATCACTGTGAATCCCGGGCGCTTGTAGCTCTCAGAGCTGGCCAGGTTCAGGCTGTTCCTGAGATCTTTGTCTCGATTATTTCTGTTCATTGGCATGTGGAGCCGAGGGTTAGGGTTGGCGCTGTGGCGGTTCCGGCTCCTCAGGGAGCTGAACACCATGTTACATCCTTCGATGGTGCACTTATGCTTGATCTTCAGGTGGACAGCGTTGTAGTGGATCTTGAGGGTACCTTTGTCGTAGAAGGTCTTCTCACACGCGGTGCAGAACACCCGGCCCTTCTTTGTGCTAAGGCTATTCCTTTCAGGCTTCACTTTGGACTCGGGTGATAACTGTGTCCTTTCAAGCTTAGCAACAATGCTATATGAGCTGGAGTCACTTAAATGCGCACCATCTTCTTTTTGAGTAATAGCATCTGGACAGTTTAAACACTGCTCCTTTTCAATCTGAAATGGTGTGGAGTTGGAAGTTAAGAAGCTGCTATCAGAGAACGGTCCGTGAATTTCCTGTTTGGGGTCGTGGCTTTGGTCCTGACCCTGCTCCAAAATATACTGTTCAGGCAGTGACCCTATCAGTGCAGGAGGCAGAGGGTTGAAGAACTGGAAAGGCAGCATGAAGGTCATGTTGTTTATGAGGTTCTCAAAAGGATGCACGCTGCTAGGGCTTCCTTTGTCCACAGGGGTGGGGAGGCTAGTGCTCCTGTGTCCACAGCTTTCAATAAAAGCTCTAATATCTACATTTGCTGTGGAAGGGGGTATGATGATGGCCTGCTCTTCTTTCTCCTGAATGGCCATGAGCTCCACTATGGACTTGGTCTCTCCAAAGCGAAGGAACTGCTGCAGGGTGGCCACTTCTTCCTCACTGGTCATGATGTTCCAATGATCCAGCACCTTCCCCGATGCATCCTAAACCCAAATCAGAATTTAAAAGCATGATCAATTTACTGAACTTTAGTCTTTGCTCCAAAAAGGAGTGATCTGATCAGGGCTCCACTAGGCTACAGGGAACACTGGTACATGTCAGAAAAGGATGCCCCCTTGTGTACAGAGTTCAGACACTGGCCAGAAACTCTGTGAAGAATATAAACTGCACAAATGTAAGTAGTGCTCCTACAAATGGTCCAGAAGAGAGAAATAAAACTGTACTATTCAAACCCAACTTGGGGAAATTTGGTTATTATGTTTTATCTTATTTCAAGCCAATGTGTTGTCTTGCATCAGGCATAATGATTTTCCCCACTAAAATTAAAATATGTATCATTTGAACAATAGCAACTTCTTTATCTAGAGACTACAGATGGAGCACTCAGGCCTAGATATAGCTCAAGTATTCATTTGCTGCAAGTTTAATAATCTTCCCAAGCAACTACCATCAGAAAACAAATGAACCTATATCGATCTATTACCCATGTTCACAAAGCAGAGCTGTAATTACACTGGAGTGTTGGAGATCTTTCAAACTCTAGTAAGGCCAAACTTTTCCCAAAAACTACAATAAATATTTTATCACAGAACATGTATTTGATGGCCTACTGAGATTTTTCACAATGCATGTAAGAGTTTTGAAGATGATGAGGAATGTAACATCATAAATTTTTCATGCACTCGAGGTTCAAGGTAATTGATTCCATATTTTTAATCCTAACACTAGAAAGCAAGATTATTAGTATCATTAAATATTGATCTATGTCATAATGTAAGATCAGAGTGCTACTCTACATAAACAGTTATTTTTAGACTGCTGGGAGTCCAAACTAGAGGTGAGCAAAAGTGTTTCCAGAGAAAAATTACGGGCTTTAGAGTGAGGCAGAAGTGGGTTCAAATGCTGGACCTGCCACATATGTGTGGGACTGACTTTCAGCAAGGTATGAAAGGACTCTAAGCTTCTGGCTTTTCAATTAGAAAATGGGGATAATATACCTACCTTAGAAGATCACTGGAAGAACGTCTAGGTTAATAAATGTTTTTTTATTACTATTTCCTTTAATGATATAGTCTACATAAGACTGAAGTTTATGTCATTCATCTAATATTTCATTGCATTTTTTTTTTTTTTTTACCAAAGTTAGTTGACATTTTGCTGGTGTAGTGGCCAGAAGAAAAAGTGCTATAGATGTTTCAAAGGAATAATATAATTCATTTCGGGAAATATGTTTTTTTGCTTGTGACCTGACGACTTTGAGTATGACACATGAAGCTTTATACCCATGGCGTGGTCTGCGAAGGAAGGTTAAATGACGCTGAAAATAAAGAGAAAAGAAGGGATTGAGTGCATGAACACTGTGGAAAAAAGAAAATAGGTGCAGGCCAAAAGAGAACTGTGGGGAGTAAAAGGGCAAAACAGAAGAGGGGTAGGGGTAGGGGCTGGGACAGATAACGAGCAAGTACAAGAACACAAATATCGCATGATATTTGTGGAGGCCAGGAAGGTAAATCAGCAGCAGGAAAGCAGAAGGCTTTAAAGAATGGTGAAGAGTGGCACAAAACTGTTAAGCTGTTTGCCGTTTGATTCTGGTATGTAAGTTTCCTTTCTGACCTCCAAATTCTCAGTAAAATCTGATACAGACAGCACCTTGAGTCAGTGGGTAGTCTGGGGCTAATAAAAGAAGTCGAGGCAGCACCCAACATGGAACGAACGGTTTACTGCAGAAGAAGTAGCTTAGTGAAACCCTCCTCAGAGAACATGTCAAGCTTCCACAACTGACAGGTATCTTGGAGAAAACATGGGGCTCCCCCAAGAACAGGTGGGGCTTAAGTCATAGAAAAATATCACAGGAAAGGGTGACATCAGTAGCCGTATTACTGGTAGAGAACTGGGTTAATCAGTTCCAAGGGCACTCATTTCAGAAGACACTAGGAAACTAGTACCTGCAGCACATATCCACGGATATAATCCTGCAGGGTCCAGTCCAAGGCATGGAGGATCTGCAGCACCTCATCTTGCTTCAACACGCTGAAGAGTCGGTCTAGGAGGATTTTCAGGCGCACAGGGATGGCCTGGGTTCCATAGAGCATGAGGCTGCTAATGTCAAATACCACATTGGACTGGACAATTTCCACCTGGCTTGTTGGATACATGGGAGGAATCCTCAGCTTGCTTAGAGCTGAAAATCAAGTTGAAGAAATAGCATTTTTAAAGGCACAGAGAGCAGAGTAGGGCTGATTCTCAGTTATCTGTTTCCACAGAAAAAGCATAAATACACAAATGACTAATAACCTTAATAGCTATCAAGCTTCAAGTTATTCGTAGGAAATTCTAAAATGAAATGGACTGATTTAAGACGTTTCTCCTTTTCCAGTGATATCTCTAATTGTCACAAATAGGGAAGGGACAAGGAAAAGGAGGAAATATAAAGGCAGCAACTGCATAATCAAGAGGATGAACAATTACGAAGTGAAGATCCTGGCACTGAAGAGCCTGGGCTTGGGAATCCAGGTGATCTGGGCTGGAGCGCTAATCAGCTGCTTTCTACTTAAGCTGTCTGACAGATTAAGCCACCTAACTCCACACTATCCAAGGCAATAGTCACCAGCCACATGTGGTTATTTAAATTTAGATTAAAATAAATTAAAATTAAATACAATTAGCACTTCCACTCTTTGGTCATACTAGTCACATTTCAAGTACTTGGTAGCTACAAATGGCTAGGGTAGAGCTATCAGGTTTGGCAATGAATAAGCAGGATACCCCATTAAAAAATTAAGGGAGATACTTCCACTAAAAAATGTATTGGGGTGTGCTTGAACTATACAACTAGAGGCTGTTTACTAGCACAGAACATTTCTGTTACTGTGAAATAAACCGCTCAAGCACCAGTTGCTGTATCTTTAGAATAGGGTTAACAAGACACAATACAGAGTTGTTAAAATTCAGAAGTAACAAATGAAGCTGTTAGCTTGTAACCTAGCACATACTAGAAATTTACAAGTTATCTGTCACCCTTAGATAGGAAACCATATTCAGTCCCCGAGTAATGGTAAGTTATTAACAGGAAATACTACAGACCAAGAGAGACTAAAAAGTCAGTTACCATGAGCCACCCATCCATGTCTGCACTGCTCGCACTGACGGTGGTTTATTTTCCCAGGTTTGAAGCTTTGGCAACTACAGTTCAGAGTACAGCCGATAGTCTGCAAAAGAGGAGGATAAATACCGATCTGTGTGGCAATGTAAGTGCTGTGTAGAGCACATACTGCATCTAGGAAACCAACGTATTCCCCCATTCAACAGCCTTCATTGAGCATGTAATATTCATGCTATGCCAGACCCAAAGGTGGGTACAGTACCTTGGAAAGGTGAGCAGCTGGCCCAATACTTGGGAGACTGTGAATGTACTACACAGATGTTCTGCACATGGGAGTGGGCAAAACCATGAGGATTTGTAAGAAAATATTATGGCTTGGAAATTAATATCCTGCTGTGTTATGTTATTAAGAGCATAACATCAACAGTCACATTTTCACCAAATCTCTTAAACTGACCAAAACAGCAACTCTGAAAGGTTTTCAGCGGCCACGCAGTAAAAGGAACAACAATCTCAACTAAGAGCGATCCATGTATGGAATTTGTTATTCCCATCCCCAAGATGTGGTAGAGGCTGCAAATATTTGAGAACGTGCAATGGCTGGCTTTGCCCAGGCTCATTCTCTGACCCACTCGCCGGACTGTGTGTCTGACTTTCAGAAACAGACGACTGGATAAGCCCTGCATGGACGGCTCGGCTGTCTGTTGTAGTGCTGTGTTTGGTGGGATTGGTTTGATTATACAAAAATAGAGCTGAAACAGAAAACCGAGTTGTGTGTATCTAACAGAGTTCCAGTATTAAAAGCAAAGCTCTTTTTTAAAAAAAAATATGAGTTTCCCAAAAGGAGATAGAGGCCTGAAGAATATAATCTATTTTAAAGAGAAAAAGTCACAAAAAAGCTCCATCTGTGAGGTTCTTGGGAAGAGGCCCTGGGCGGAATCTATATGATTCAAGAAACGCTTGAAAATAGGCAGTGTGTGTGTGTGTGTGTGTGTGTGTGTGTGTGTGTGTGTGCGTAAGAAGGATAAAAAACCCTACGATTAAGGGCTTAATCCCTAATCTGGCATTTGAGCAATCATGTGGCCTTGTATGGAGGACAAAGAAGGGAGAATCTGGCCAAGGACTAGGGAAAATCACTTTAAGAAGCACAAAACCAGTTTTAACTTAAAAACCAGTTGCTGGTAGGACTGTAAAATGGTACAGCCAGTTAGGAAAATAGTCTGGCAACTGCTCAAAACATCAAATGTAGAGTTACTAAATGACCCAGAAATTCTACTTCTCAGTATACAGCCAAGAAAAATGAAAATAAGTCCACACAAAAACTGTACATGAATGTTCACAACAGCCATTATTCACAATAGCCAAAAAGTTGAAACAACCCCAACATTCATCAGCTGACAAGCGAATAAACAAAATGTGGTATATCCATACAACAGGATAAAAAAGAATGAAAAACTGACACATGTTACACCATGGGTGAAACTTGAAAACACAACACTAAGAGAAAGAAGCCAGGTACAAAAGGTCACAGATTGATTTCATTTGCATGATATGTCAAGAAAAAGCCAATCCATAGAAGCAGAAAGTAAATTAGCAATTACCAGGGGAACAGGCAGGGATGAGATGTGACTTCTAACAGGTGATGGACGGAGAGTATTGTGTATCTTCTTTTTTAAAAAAGCTTTACTGACCATACTTTAAAATGAAATAAATTAGAAGTATATGTTTAAATGTCACATTGTTTCTCTAGTGGGAGAAACTAAAAGGGTAAATAAGGACCAAAATGTGTAACAGATATGGGGAAATAGGAAGCAAATATTCAAATGGTAAGGGGAACAAGGGATGGGAAAAGGGGAAAGGAAGAAAGGGAAAAGAAAAAAAAGAATATAAGGAAGAAAATGGGAACAAAGCTTTTGTAACTAAGGAGAGAAAGAGGGGTTGAAGAGAGGGAAGGGGATTGAGAAGAAAGAAGAATTAAGAAATATTATATACAGGTACAAACTTCCTCTAATGAATGTGATCATTATGTATATCTAAAATGTACCAATAAAACTAATTTTACAAAGCTTTACTGAGATGCTACTTGCGTATTATATAATCCAACCACTTAAAGTACACAGTTTGTGATTTTTTATTATATTCATAGAGTTACACAGCATTATGACAATTTAATTTTAAACATTTTCATCTTCTCCAAAAAGAATCTTGTGTACGGGTTTTTAACAGATATGTTTTCATTTCTCTTGGGTAAACTCCTAGAAGTGAAACCGTTGGGTTATATATCCATACACCTCATTTTATTGCCCCTGGATTTATAGTACCTCACAGGCACGGTTTTTTTGCAAATTGAAAGTTTGTGGCAACTCTGTCTTGAGCAAGTCTACAGACACCATTTTCCCAACAGCTTAGAAGATTGTTAGTATATTTCAGCAGTGAAGTACATTTTAATCAAGGTATATACATTGTTGTTTTCAAACACTGTGCTATTGTACCTTTAATAGACTATAGTGCAGTATAAATACTTACGTGCATTGGGAAACCAAAAAATCAATGTGATTTGCTTTATTTTGACATTTGCTTCATTGCAGTAGTCTACAACTGCATTCACAATATCTCCAAGGCTTTTTGTAAAGTCATACAATACAATACACAGGACTTCATGCAATCCTAACTCTGTCATACCCTAATAATTATGCATTCTCCAGAGGGGATAGTATCATCCCTAAAGGAGTGAAGACTGGTTCTTGGGAGTGTGAAAAAATGCTATTTTTTTTGTGTAAAGCACAGATATTCATGCACACATAAACAGATACATACATATGATTGTATATGTATGATAGTGTGATACTGTACTAAAATTTCATTGGGGAGGTACAGTTAGGAAAAATTTCTAAAATCCCCTCAGGTGTGGGAGGTAATATAAAAGATTGAGAAACACCATCCTAATGCCAGAATTTATTTTACTCTTTGGTTACACAGGTTTTAACTGCATATGCATACACAAATATATTATGTGAACATGTATGTCTGTATATATGTACTTTAAGCATTATTATATAGTTCCCTTGAATGGAAGCTGAGGGGTAAAAGTGAGTAATGATTTAATTTATATTACATACCATCAAAAATTTAAGAAAGCTATTAGCTTAGTTTGTGGCACACCTAATATGTTGTCCAGCATTTCAAACTTTGGCCACAACCCCAAGAACATCAGTTTGCTGATGAACCAATCATTTGTATATCGTCAATAGCTATCACCACACTCAATATTAAACCTGTAAAGTATTTCACAATCTAAATGCTATAAAGATGACTGACTTAAAGGAAAATTTTTAAAGGAGAGAAAAGTTCTTCTTTTGGATTATATGCAGCAAGATCCTTTTTATTACTTAAAAATAAGATATTGGTACTACACAAGTAAACTCATTTTATTTATTCTGGAAATAAGACCCCTGTACCCTCCAGTTGCCAATTAATCCCCATGTCCCAAGTGGTGACAAACAAAATTATCTCCAGACATTCTCAAATGCCCCTTGGATCTATACCACCTTCTAGTTAAGATCACAGACCTAATTTGACCATCCAGTTTTAGCAGCTTATATTTTGGAGACAGAATTTTAAACAACTTTCTGTATAATTCCAAAGTATGAGTGCTGCTTTATAAGAAACATTCATGTGGTTCTACGCAAACCTATTTGAATAAGGCTTATTAGAGGCTCATTAAACATCTATGGAAATAAATGTCGGAGGAATTATTTATGAACTAAAAAACCTAATTACAATGTCTAAGGAAACTTCTGATATCAAGGGCCTTGGATTTTTCCACCCATCTCAGAATTCCACGCTGTTGTAAAATTATAGCACCATTATCTAAAGATAAATTAAAACTTCTAAAATGAGATCAAACCAAAAAATTTTAATTACAGGACAAAAAGTACTCATGTAAATCAAAATTGAAAATTCTTACAATTTACCTCCTTTCCTTTGGAATCCTAATAGTTGTTCTATTCTTCAGAAACATAGGCAGATGTTTACAACACTGAACTCATCAAGACATGATTATTGCTTCTTATGCACTCATCTTAATCAGACTATTTCTGGAATTGTTATTAGTCACTTTGATGTGCCACAAATCAACATTTGAAATTATCATTTGCTTTTTTGGTAACTCTCACTTGCTCATTCATTCATCCCTAAATGGACATATCTACTATGTGATGAAGTGGGTTTTTTTTTACTGTACTGGAGTGGGGTGTTTTGACCTAAGTTTTTGGTAGACTGGGGCACCCATTTCATTTCCCAGGTAATCCTGCTCTGCCTTCAACTTGGGGATATACGTCCAGAGATGTTGGGTTGAATCACTGCCAGTGGCTGGCACAGGCACTTGGTGAAGAGATGCACAGACATACTTGCTGGGATTTGAATTATTGAGCTTAAGAACAAAACCTGTTTACTTCAAAACTATTTTCATTTCTGGAACATGCAGGTATTTTTATTGCACCAAAGACAAATCAAAGGGAATATTTCTGGGGGACTAGACAGAAGAGGGAGGGGGGAAACAGAACTTTAGGGTTCCCAGATTCACTGCTTTAGCTCTTTGAATCTGACGGAGACAAAAGGTTGAACTTCATCGAGCCTGAGAACTCACAGACTTGTTTCTTAGTTTGTGCTGTCCAGTGCACTAGCCACATATGGCTACATAGATTTAAGTAATTATTTAGCAATTCAGCTTCTTGGTCACATCAACCACATTTTAAGTGCTGAGTAGACATGTGCTAGTGGCTACTGCACTGGACAGTGGAGATATAGAACATTTCCAACATCTCAGGAAGTTCTATTGGACAGTGTTGTGTCCAGGGGTGAGACTAGCTACTGTTATCTGACGTAGTAATATTCATGTTTAATAGGTAATTTCATTTAATCCTAATTACTTTGCTGTGAGAAGGGAAATTGAAATGGATGGAGGATTTGAAACTTGTCCAAGGCCACTCAGTCATTAAACTTTATCAAGCATTTTTCTGAATGTGTGAGACCCTGTACTAAGTCAGGGCATATGTAGTATTTCATTCTTTTCTATAATCACTAGGGAGGAAGGGCTTATGTAAAGCTCTATTTTACAGATAAGAAAACTGAGAAATTTAAGGCTATCAGGGTGGTCTCAAATCTATTCAGCAGGGGCAAAATATTAATATCTAGTGTGCACTAGTTTTATTTAATCTCTATAACTTTCAGCATTAGGCATTATCATATACTTCTGCATGTAAGGACATTAAAGTTCTATAGGGTAAAGGAACATCATTCGTTGAGTATTTACTGAACAATTAAGAGTCTGGCATTGTTCTAGATTCTAGAAGACAAATAGTAGAATAAGAAGGATAAAGTACTTGTCCTCAAAGAGTTTATATTCTAGAGAGATCAGAAAATGAAAGCAAACCATTATTTCTGAGTAAGGTAAGTGTTGTGAACAAACTGAGGAGAAAGCTATGCTAATGATTTAACAAGGTGGCATGGAAGAGTCGGGAGAGAATTATGTGTGTCTTGCTATGCAAGGCACTGTG